GCCGTTGCCAGGTCTACTTAAATGAACCTGAAATCAGTTGCCTCAGAGGCAGGTCTCCCTTATGCTATGGCAGTTACTCATCTCCGCCTCCAAGGGAAACTACCCAGTGTTTCTTATTCTCTCGTTTCAAAAGATCCCCCCCCACTTCTGGGGTCCCATCTTCTGCAGCCTCTGTTACCCCTCCCATAGCCACTCCGGCATCTAATCCTTTTGCTGTCCTTGGCTCTGACGTCCCGACTACAACTAGGTCTGTTCTCACATCTTCGCGTCCTTCCTCGCAAGCCCCAGTATCGACAAGACCTCGTACGACACCTAATACCAATCGCCCCTCTACTTCTCAGGAGTCCAAAAAATCCGCATTGCTCAAATCTTCTTTTGCCCCTTCCTCCCTTCTTCCACCTCCACATTTTACCTTTCCAGTCTCTGGGCCTAGTTCTTCCCCCTCTCTCTGGCTCTATTACAAGTGTGGAGATTCATCCTCCTCGTACTATGCCTTCCACCCCCGTCCCCTCCCAAGTTTTCTCCCTCTTCTGCCACCTCCCAGGTTTCTGCCTCTTCTTTTCCCCCCCCCCCCCACACTTCATCTCCAGTCCCTTACAACTCTTTCCTCCCCCTCTACTTTGGTACAGTCCATTACTGTCCCAATCTTTACTCACCCTCCCCTTCTATCTCCAATATGGTCTCCCATACATATTTGAATTCAGAAACACTTGAAGCCATTTCAGAATATATTGCAAAGACTAAACCTTCAATGGACACTGATTCACTTCCTGTTCCTTCTCTTCCCTCTCTATCTTCACAATCCCATTCTTCGCAATGCTCCGTTCCTTCGCTGCTTGAACGTCTTCCAATGCCACCACACGTTGACTTTTCTAACCCCTCTAGTCCGTAGGTGCCTTTCCCTATGGATTCCTGGTATTTTCTTCATCGCCAATCATGGCCTATTTAAAATGGAATATCCGCGGCCTCGGGTAATCTGGGCGAGCTTCAGATGTTGCTTTCCAGGTTTTTCCCTGTTGGTGCTTGCTTACAAGAACCAGAATTACACTCTGCTGTTTTCCAACCTATCTCAGGCTATAATTTATTGTATTCTTCGGATCCTTTCTCAGATGGGACCTTTAATGAAAGTGCCCTTCTACGCAATGATATTCCGTACTGTCGACTATTTGTCCATACCTCGCTGCATTACACTGCCGCCCATATCCACTTGAATAAGTAGTTTACAATATGTTCTTTATATATCTCTCCTTCTCGAGCATTTTCTATCCCAGACTTTACCTTTCTTGTTTCATCCTTACCACCACCACTTCTGTTACTTGGTGATTTTAATGCCCACCATTTTCTCTGGGGGGGGGGGGTCTCATTGTGACTCGCGTGGCATCCAGTTGGAGGTTTTTCTCGCTTCTCATCCCCCCCCCCCTCCATGTTTTAAATATAGGTACTCCCACCCATTTTGATCCTCTTACTCATACTCTCTTGCATCGATCTATCAGTCTGCTCTTCCTCCACTGCACTAGACTTCACCCGGTCTGTTCTACCGGGCTTACATGACAGCGATCATTTTCCAATCATTCTTTCTTCCTATTCACCACCTTTCCGTAGCCCTCGCTGGCAATTTGATCGGGCAAATTGGGATCTTTACTCACAACTCGCTGCTTTTAGTGAGGTTCCTTGATCTTCCATTGAGCTCCTACACCTCTTCTCGACGTCAGTTTATACTGCAGCTTCTCATTCTATACCCCAAACCTCAGGCAGGCATTCTCAGAACTGCGTGCCTTGGTGGTCTCCTGCTTGTGCTCGTGCAGTAAGTTTGAAAAGCGCTGCATGGGGCAGGTACCAGTACAATAGAACCGCTGAGAGACTTCTTGATATCAAGCAGAAGCGTGTGATCTCTCGCAGTGTCATCCGTGAAGCTAAACGCACTTGCTGGCGAGACTGTTTCCACCATCACCTCTGCTTCTATGAGTGCAGTCTGGAAAAGTGACCCGGCTCCTGTTCTACGGGTCGCTGGTGTTGTAGCAAACCCTCTTGACGTTGCCATTGAACTTGGCACACATCTGGTCCATATTTCCCGGGGGCTCTATCTATGCCCCTCGTTTCTTTCCTCAAAGTCTGCCAGAGTTGGTACCCTTAGACTTTTGTTCTCTCAGAGAACAGTATAAAGTGCCTTTTACACTTCAAGAACTGGAGGCAACGCTCTCGGCTTGCCGATCATCGGCAGCTGGGCCTGACGACATTCATATTCATATGTTACAACATTTACATCGGTCAGCCCTTGTAGTCCTCTTACACCTCTTCATCTTATTTGGGCACAAGTTCTTCCCCAGCTGTGGAAATATGCCATTGTTCTCCCTTTCCGCAAACCAGGTGCTACAGGACATGATGCCTCCCACTATCGTCCCATCGCTCTTACTAGTGCAGTTTGCAAAGTGATGGAACGTCTCGTAAATCGACGTTTAATGTGGTATTTACACAAAAGTCTCTCCGCTAGTCAATATGGCTTTCGTAAGGGCCGTTCTACCATAGACCCCTTACTATGCTTGGATACATATGTTCGTAATGCCTATGCGAATAATCACTCGGTTATTGTCATATTTTTTGACCTTGAGAAGGCATATGACAAAACTTGGAGGTATAATATTTTGGCCCAAGCCCACTCCTTAGGCCTCCGAGGCAATCTACCATCCTTCCTTAAGAACTTTTTAACTGGCAGACATTTCCATGTTAGTCAATAATGTTCTTTCCCCGGACTTCATCCAAGCTGAAGGTGTCCCTCAGGGATGTGTTCTAAGCACAACACTTTTTCTCCTTGCTATAAATGATTTGACCTCTGTTCTTCCACCCAATATTTGGTCATCACTATGTTGATGACTTCGCTATTGCTTGTGCAGGCGCTGACAGTCGTCTCATTGCAGTTTCTCCCCAGCATGCGGTCGACAGTGTTTCCACTTGGGCCACCACGCATGGGTTTAAATTTTAAAGTACTAAAACTCTCCAAATTACTTTCACTAGATGCTCTGTCATCTCCGATCATCCTTTATATCTCTATGGCTCCTGTATCCCCGAACGTGATAGTCAGGTTTCTAGGCCTTCTCTTTGACAGTCGGTTATCCTGGAAACCTCGCATTACCTCTCTGAAGGCAACTTGTCACAGCTGGCTAAACCTTCTTAAAACCCTTGCTCATCTTTCCTGGGGAGCTGATCATTGAACTCTGCTTCGCCTACATTCAGCCCTTGTTTTATCGAAATTCGATTATGGTGACCAGATTTTTTCAGCGGCCTCTCCTGCTACTCTCTAGCCTTAACCCTATCCATCACCAAGGATTACGTTTGTGCCTTGGTGCTTTTCGTTCTTCCCCTGTTGAGAGCCTCTATGCAGAAGCGATGTTCCATCCTTGTCTGATCGCCGTGATGCCCATTGCCTTCGCTACTATGTACCCTCTCACAATCTCCACAATCCTTCCATTTATAGAATGGTCACAGATATTAGTAGACATTCTTTATTCGTTCGCCGCCCCTGTTTGCTCCGTCCCTTTTCTGTTCGCCTACATTCTCTTGTCTTCCCTTCAGTTACCACCTTTGTGTTCATGTAGCATCTCACTTTTCCCTACCCCCCTGGGAAGTTTCAGCTGTTCGGGTCTGTTCTTTCTCACTCCCATGCTCGAAAGCTCAACTGCCTACGGTGGCTTCCCGCTCTTTTTCTTGATCACTTCCACTCCCATTCTCATGCCATCGCTGTGTACACAGATGGCTCTAAGTCTTCAGACGGCGTCGGATTCGCAGCAGTGTTTCCGGACAGCGTCGTGTGGGGGCATTTACTATCTTTGGCTAGCATTTTGCTGCTGAATTGTATGCCATTCTTGCAGCACTTATTCGTATCGCATCTTTGCCTGTGTCATCATTTGTGGTAGTCACTCCCTTAGTGTTCTACAGGCTATACGAAAATTAGATGCATCTCGCCCCCCCCCCCCCTAGTTCTCCGTATCCAACTTTGGCTACGCCGTATCTCTATGAAGCAGATATTATTTTTGTTTGGTCCCTGGTCATGTCTATGTACAGGGCAATGAACAGGCACACTGCTGCGCGGTCAGCAGTACATGAACTACCAATTTCCTATAGAGGTGTTCCATTTCTGGACTATTTTGCTGCAATAGCTACCCACCTTCACGCCTGTTGGTACAACGTTGGTCAACTCTGCTTGGTTACAAACTTCATTCTATTAAACCGAGCATAGGTTACTGGCAGTCTTCTTGTCATCAGTGCCGTGGTTGGGAGACCACTCTCTCCCGTCTTCGCATTGGCCACACTAGTCTTGCTCACGGGTATCTCATGGAGAGGCACCCTGTACCTCTGTGAGCAGTGTCAAGTTCCTGTATCGATTAGTCACATTCTGTTAGACTGCCCTCTCTATCAACGAGCACGCAGAATTTGCCTCTAACAGTCTTCGTTCTGCTATCTCTTTACCTTCCCTTCTTGCTGATGGACCCTCCTTTAATCCTGACTCTCATTGACTTCTTGACAACGACTGATTTACTCCACAAACTGATACCTTATGCACTCCCCTCAGCCCTTTCTAGCTCACTCTTGCTGCCCTTTACCCTTTCGCCATCCACTGCTCCGCTGTTATCCGTAACCTATTACTCATCCACCTCCCTTTTGCCACCTGATGCCCTCGCTTCCTTTCTACCCTGCAGCGCTGTATAGCCCTTGTGGCTTAGCGCTCTTTTTGATTATAATAATCTGTATTGTAGAAGTGCGAGATGTGAATAATTAGAACATGAAGGGTAGGAATCATGGTTCATTCGTGTAGCATGCCCAGTGCTGTTACTTTTCACCTACAGAGCTTAGACTAGGATAATTTTTAAGCTCTGTGGCAGTGGTAACAACATTGAATCTGCTGCGTACATTGATCACAGTTCAACTCCTTGTCCATTCTCTTCATTGACACTTGTTTATTATGAATCATCTTCGGTTTATTCAATTTTATCGTTATTTTTCAGGTTGAAGTGGCAGATGAAGTTAGTGTTTTTCATCTGCTTCATGAAGCCCAAAAACGAAGAACTGTGGCAGAAACCAAAATGAATGACGGTCATCTCGCTCGCATTCCGTTTTCGCTCTTAAACTCTCCGCAACAAATAGCAAAACTTTTGAATCTTGTGAATATAAGAGTTCTTTAATTACTGTTATTTTTTTTTTCACCCATTAAAAAGCTTTGCTAGGGGGGGGGAGGATAAATTTAAAGCTTTTGGTTCTGCCTCTTTCTGTTCAACTGATTGTTTAAGCTGTCACTCTGCTGTTGAACTGTGCAAGTTGCTTCTATTGCATTGCTTGGGTCTTTCCATTTTACAGTATTTACCCGTCTTATATTGAAGAAAGGCTTCCTGATATCTTGGGCTTTTTTTTTTTTTTTTTTTTTTTTCCCCCATTTTCCACCAAGGCAGGGTAATCCAAATAAACATTCACCCTCACTCAATAGCTGTCTTGTCAGTGTGTAGACAAAGCAATTCAAATGACTCTTTAAAATAAAAGTATCCCCATCCATCCTAAACGTTAGTTTTGTGCAGTACTCGGACAAAACTGAGTATCATTTTATTTATTTATTTATTTATTTATTTATTTATTTTAAATTTGTGCACACATACAGAGGTACAAAAAAAATACAGATAAGAGCAGTATGCCAAAGCCACTTATACTATGCATAGCATTACGGGCTGGCTTAAAATTAACTTAAGATTAATTAAGCAATGATGAAGTCAGTGATAAAACATTAAAAGTAAACAGATTACTATTAAAGCACAAGTGAGTATTACAAAGACAGGTCAGTAATGACGGATCTTTAGTTAGTGTATTTTAAAAAATAATCAAGTTAGATTGGGTTTTAGGTTTAACATCTATGTGATATAATTGTGAGAAAATTAAAGATATAACAATTTATAAGGTTCAGTTATTCAGTAATGTTATTTGGTTTTGGGTGAGTAAGTGATCTTTTGAGTAAGACTTGAATTTATAAACCAGGTAGTGTTCTTTATAACTTTACAGGTAATGATTCCAGATTTTAGGGCCTTTATGTGCATTGTTTTGCATAGTGTGAGATGAACACGAGGAACATCAAAGAGTGATCGTGCTTGTTTTTGGGGTGGGTTTATGGTCATGTGTTCTGTTTGAGGTTGGCAAGGAGAGTTTTGAGGGGAGGGTTAATATCAAGTTAGTGTTCTATGTAATGTAATAGGTGCAGTAATAAGTATGGATGTTTTGTATGGTGAGTAGGTTTAGTGTATTGAATATTGGTGGAGTGTGCTGCCTGTAGTGAGAATTTGTTATCATTCTAACTGCAGCCTTTTGTTAATTGCCCAAGTTTTTCAGCGAGTTTCTCCAATTTTTTTTTTTTCAACAAGTCGGCAGTCTCCCACCTAGGCAGGGTGACCCCCCAAAAAAAAAAATCCCCAAAATGAAAATACTTTCATCACTTTCACCTCGCTCATAATCACTGTTTTTGCAGAGGTGCCTGGATACAACAGTTTAGAAGCATTTAAAAAGATACAACATAAGTGACCTGAAATAATATGAACTCCAATTCTTTTTCTTTCAACACACTGGCTGTATTCCACCGAGGTGCCTCTTCAAGGGGGGGGCTCCTTGGCGTGGTGAAGAGGCTCTTGGTCTGAGGAATTAGACCTATCGGTCTTCTTCCTCAGACCGAACCTAATTACCCCCCAATCTCCCCTCCCCTATCCCATCCTCCCCTTTTTCCTTTCCTCCTCCCCACCCCTCCCTTTTGCCCTTCCTATTTTTGTCCTTTGGGGATTCTCCCACAGCGTGCTAGTTTTCCCAGGGAGGGGAAAGGATACCGGGGGTCCATCCCATTCCGTTGAGGGGTTTTTAGCGGTGGCGTAGTTTGCCGTGGAATCTGGATCGCCTGGGATGTCCCGATCCCTCTCCGGTATCCCCCGGAGTACTTTGGTGTCTTTCGGGCGACGAGTGTATCTCTGGAAGCCACCTTTCGGATTCCGGGGGTGGTGGCCGATGGAGGTATGCTTTGTGGCGGATATCCGGCCGCCCTCTTTTGTCCACCGAGGTAGCTCGGTAGATGTGAGGTTGCTATCCCGGATTGTTAGTTTACTAGCATGATGGGTAGGGTATGGCACGGGTTCCATGCTGCATCTGCGCTACTTGCGGTGCTGAGGTCCTCTTGGGCGCGGAGGGAGATTTCTGGCCCTTTCATCCCTCCTAGGAACTATCCCTCCCTGGTCCCCCATTTTTTTTATTCTTTTTTTTATTTTTAATTTCTTTTCTTAAAAACAAAGAAGTAACCTAACCATGGCAGCCCTAGTCCATGAACCTGGTACCCCCCCGGGGCCCCCTTTTTGATACCACACCCCCTTCTGACCCCGCCTCGTCTTTGGACCACTCTTCAGACATTCCTCATGCCTCTGTACCTATTGCCGGTGCTGTTTCCTCGCCCCTTCAGGTACTGAGGCCTCGACTGACTCCTTCGATTTATCGGACCTTCGCTCTCTGACATGCTTTCCCCGGGCCCCTCCCTCTACTGTGGGCGGCAATTTTCAAATCGCCGACCCATTCCCCCCGCGCAAAACTCTGCCCCAAAACGACAATTACCTGCTGAAAAATGCTTTTTCCACCCTCTCTTTCTTCTGGGAAAAACGATCGACAACGTCCCTTCACTACCTTTCCATGCTCATTTTTCAGACGAAATGGACTAAATTCTTCACTTTTAAAGACCAACTTTCCCTACTGTATATCTTTCTGCCATAGTATTTTTGGGAAGGACTACCCCACGCCATGTTGGTAAAGATATTTCTTTTCATGCCTTTAAAACGGGCGGCCAAACATTACCGTACAGAATGCTACCCAGGGTCATGAGCTCTCTCGCCCTTTCCCTTATCAATAAAAGTTTCCCCCCACTCTCGAAAAACATCATTCCCTCAATTCTTGATGGTACCCTGATTCTGGGCCCCCAAAACCCTATTCAACAAAATTTCCAGACAAGTGCACTGACATTCTAAACAGCTGGAACCCAAAATCTCCCAAACCTCAGGGTAACACTTGTTTTTCCCTTTCCGGGCCCGTGGGCGGGGGACGTAACCCCAGCAATGGGCCGTTTTAAATTTTGACAGCCGAAACTCCCATCCTCAGTTTTAAAAAAGCAGGACAACGGTTACAAGTTTTTAAAAAAAAAAGGTTATCCCCCACACCACAACCGTGTAAAATTGCTGGCGATTTGGGGGCCCTCCACGAAAAAATTTCCCCATCCCATCGCCGAATGCCCAGTCCCGTGGTGCCGATTTCCCCTTCTAATACGTTCTTGCAAAACGAACTCCCTCTTGCCTTAAAAAGTCATGAGGCTCCCCCCTTTGACTCTCGCCGTTGTCAGGCAAATTTAAAACGGAAAACCGGGAAAAATTCCGTTACCTCAAAGAGACAGAAAGGCCCCTTATGCCATGGGGGAGTTTTCCCCATTTTCCGCCTCCAAGGGAACTCCTTTCCCAAAGTGTTTCTTATTCCCGTGTTTTAAATCCCCCCACTTCTATATCCCATCTTCCCACAAAAACCCCCCTCTGTGGTTATCCTCTCCCATAACATCCCTGTACTAATCCTTTTTGGGTTCCCCCGGCTCAGAAAGTCCCCACTTCAACGCCTCGTCCCCAATTCCTTTGCCTCTTCGAGTTTCTCTCCCCGCAAGCCTCGGTTTTCAACGAGAAAAACCCGTTCGAAAACCTCCTCCCAATTGCC